GAGACTTAAACCAACCACAAGGTGGTGAAGCAAATGAAATGTCATAATGACGACAAATATAGACATTTCTCCATGGCAAAGATGAGACAAGTTTTAAATATTTTACAATAACCGTAAACAAAAGGTTTGGGAAACCAACTCCCCGAAGAAATGAAAAACAACCCCGACTTAGAGAAAGACTATATATTTAATAGTTTAGTCAAAAGAGACAAAAAAAGAAGAATGCCAGGCTTCAAACTTAAGAAAGGTGACAAAGTAAAATAGAAATACCTAAACGCGACCCATATGAAAATACTATTGACTATGACAACAATGGGAACTCGACAGGTACTCACCTTCGTGTTCGTAAAAATAGAAGAAAGTATACAGAGAATATTATGAAGTTTTAGGCAAAACATGGCAAAATGTACAGACTGCAAGCAGAAGATAAAACTACTATTGTCAGACCTCGTTTCAAACTTGTCAAAGTTCAAGGTGGTATACTTTCAAAGACAGTTCCTAACAAATATAAGACAACTCCTGACGAATATGCTAAAGAAGTTGAAAATGACGACTAAGCAATTCTATACCATGCGTAAACTGTCATGTAAGGTGGCATGTAGTCTTTACTTTGTCCCGTGTTTGCGTATATCCTGAAAACGAAATGTGTATGGTTTCCTTCTCCTGCGTGTCATCCCAGTAACAATTTATAGCAAACTTAACGTCGTCTTTTAACATCATATCCTTTACCTTTTGTCATTCCTGACCAATCCCAATATCTATGCTTTATGCCAACCTGCTTGAGATGTACTTAAATCTATGTAGTGACTGTGTGCAGGTAAATTTTCACCTGAAATCGTTTTACTTCCACCTGTTTCTTTGAAGAGTTTGCACAATACAAAAACCTGTCGACTATTTGTTCCCATGCACCAACACCAAACATTACTTGAGGACTCTTGCTTCATAGATGTATAAATAGAACCTACTGGGTTCATTAAATCAAACATATGAGATATTATAGGATTGTCTCTTTTGAACTTAAAATATAGTGCAACTATTTCAGGTTTCTTCTGGTTTGTGTCAGAATATTTTTTATAATATATCTTATGTTTTCAGGGTAGGTAAAGTCTTGACTATAATATTTATTTCTGTCATCTCATAATAGTATACTATTCTCGTTTTTTCTATTGCATTATATCTTTTATATCTATAAAAATCTAAATATAATGTTAGCTTTTGTTCATCTACATGTGGTGTTCTGACGTCATCTCCATAGTCATAATAATGGTGCTGGAGCTGGGTCAGGCAATGTCATATCTGTCATTTCATTAAACTCTTAAATATTTCTTTTGTTCGTCTCCATATAAGTTTTAAGTAGCAGTTGTTGTCTAATGGAACTTTAACTTGTGTACCATCGTTCTTTTTATAGCTTACATACATTTCATTGTTATTTTTCGGAATGAGTTTATACCGTATACCATTTCTTAAGGACTGTACAAACTCCCATCTAAAATATTTGTTTTCTTCATTGACAGAAAAGTCACCAACAATAGTTTCAATATTTTTTGTTCCAACTAAACTTTGGTATATTTCATTGACATATGTTTTATCTGCTTTCTTTTCAAGGCTAACGTTTAAGTCTGTTATTTCAGAAGATGTATGTGTATGTCCAACGGCACTTTTCCTGTTTAGGTTTCTTGTAAGTCTGTTATTTCAGATATAGAATGTGTATGAGTCTTTTTAGAATATTCGTTTTCAGCTCTTGTCACTTCACTTGACATTTTATTGTCAACATATGTTTTGTCTGCTAGTTCAGGATGAGTATGTTCTTTTGTTGCATAAGCATTGTTAGCTCTTTCTTCTTCTTTTGCTATTGCATCGTCTACATATTCTTTGTCAGCTTTGTTGTCAACATCTGTTTTCAAAGAAGTTCATTTATAGGTTTCTCGTTTAAAGTTCCTTTGTTGGATTTATACAGACAGTATGGTTCTTATTGTCTTGAAACAGAAAACTCATCTGTCATTGGGTTTAATGTCAGTTTTAAGTTTCCTTCTTTCAATGACTCAGATATCTTAGAATAGTTTGAAAAGTTGTTGTGTTCTTATTTAGAGCTTGCATAATGAGTTGTCGGTTGTGTTGTATTTCTCTCATAGACGCTGTTTCATTTGACATTTTTATTCTAGATAAAATATGCTTCCAATAGAAAAAGAAAATTCAAGAGTTGCTACAACTAAACCATTAGATGAACTTTTTACTAATGTCGGTCAAAAGTTTGAGACAGAGACCGTAAAGCATGAAGGCTATCGTTTTGACTACCCATTAAGATGGCTAAGAGACCCATCTGTCACAAAAGCTATTGGCTTTCGTAGAATGAAGTTTGTGTCTGTAGAAGATAAAAGTTTTCCATTTATTGTAAGGTTTCATATAGATTAATATATCTGAAGGGAAACGAAAAATGTGGGAAGAAATTGAGCTAATACAAGTTGACCTTTCATCTTCTCTACAGACGCGTTAAAAAATATAGAAGATAAAATAAATTCATGTTATGCAAATATGCTGATGAATATGCAAATACCGAGAGCACACTTTATGTGAGAATTGTATATGACAACAAAATTCACAAGTGTCATTTCAAATCTACGAAGACAATCCAAAGAAAGACGAACAATATATACAGAATTCACTGCAATGTCATGGTATTATTTGCAAGAATGTTAAATCAGAAAGTCGAACTTCCTTTAGCAAATATTTACAGTCGATATGCAAGAGATGAACCATATTTATTTAAAGATGTTTTCGACCCAGCTGCTATTATTGTTCATGCTTCATTTTCTGGCGCCCAAAACTCTTTCTTATGCTTGGCAAATGACTTTTACGAAAACCTACAAAGTTATACGAACCACCAAGTGGAAGTATTTCAGACTTTCAAGTATGGTTTACTACAGATGGAAGAAAAAGAATAATTCCATTATACCATGCGTTTTACTTAGAACTTAGTTTCATATACAACTACTATCGAACGGTAAAAATATAATTTTTTAATACGGTTGAGGTGTTGGATTTGGTTGCAACTAGACTGTGGTGCAGGTTCAGGCTGTTGTATAACAGGAGCTTGTTCTTCTGGTTCAGGGTCTTTAGGTATAATACCAACGAACTGACCTACTCTTTTTTACCAATATTTTTGACTCCGTTCCAAATTCCTCTTCCTACGGTTTTTATTCATTCCATATACCTCTTCCAACATTTCGAAAGAAGTTTCCAATACTACTGAAGAAACCCATTTTACTATATGTAAAAATCTAATGTCCACCTAGTCTCTTACGTTTCCTGTTGAGTTCCATAGCATTCTTTAACTGGAGCTCATACATTCTGTTTCTCCTCTGGTAGAAAACATATTCTGGGTCAACTCCTGTGTTCGCGTCATCTGCATAAAGTTGTTTATATCCACTTCGGGTTTGTATAAAACTCTTTCCATCTCATATTTGCATACCATGGTGGCAAACCTAACGCAGCGTCATTTGACATGGCAGTTTGCATTTGTACATCTGTTGGCACTTGACATAGTTTGCCATTGCAGTTTGTATTCTAACTTCATTTGGAATATTCTCTGGGTTTGGTTGTCCAGGTTGCTGTGCATTCGCTAAGTTCTGTGCGTCCATTTAATATTAGATAAAAATATTCTTACGAGTACATATACTGAACATTTGCAGGCATTGGTTCATCTTCATATTCTCTGTACTTTTCTGCCACGTAAATAAATAAATGAACAATGGAAAAAACCTAAAACAGTAGTCCTATTTCAAACCACATTTACTTACTAATAAAATTTCTTTGTTATGACACTTTCTCCAGTTTATAGGACCTCTCTCATATTCTATCTTGTCATATATATACTCATAGTCATGTATGTCCTCTAACCATCTCATAACGGTTTCCAAACCACTTTTATCGGATGTAAAGTAAAAGCATGGATGGTTATGTAAAACGTCTAAAGTTTCTAAAGAGTCTCTCAAAGTCCAGTCTACTTGGTATTGAAAATCCATGTGTTATAGAACGGCGGGTCCACTATAAAGAAAACATTTTCCTTGTCTTTATATTTTTCATACAACTCTGTCCAATGACATCTCACAAACTCTATACCCTCAATATATTTTTCTATGTCCTCTTTGAAAACATTTGTATAGTTAAATATAAAACTTTTGACATAAGTGTTTCAATGTCATGAACTCTTATAGAACCACTATATAATAGTCTAGCAGATATACTATCCCAGTCTATATATTCTGCTTTTTTCAAAACCTCTCTCACAATATTTTCTTATCTAATGGTATACGTTCCATCTTACCTATAGGTAATCTTTCTTTTAACTCTTTCAATATATTGTTTGTGTCTGGTATATGTTTGAGACGGTCCATATAGTTGTCGAAGTCATTGCATATAATCTTTTGAGTCTGGGAATATTGTATGGCACAAATGGGATATATAGAAACTTCCACGAACAAATCTACAAATGTTAGACATTCGGTAGTTTTCTTAAGTTCTCTCAATATAATATCTTACATTTACTCTTATTTCCAAAGAACGGTAACGGAGGTTTTTGTAAAATCATTTATATATAATAATAAAAATGTTTTTACCCGAAAAGTGACAGAAAAGTGACAAAAGCATGAAAACATATATAATTTGTGAAAAGTGAAACATTATATAATGTTTTCGACCCAGAAGAAGGCTTCTTCCCAGAAGCAATGAGGAAGAAGAAGAGTCCTCCGAATTCACACCAGAAGACTAACAATTTTCCGAATAAAACTCATTTTACTAAACATCTTCGGGGCTAAGGGCACGAAGTGCCTGGAAGCCCCACTACCCTTTTTTTTTTTTTTTTTTTTTTTTTTGTACATGAGTGCAAATAAGACTTAGTGACTTTTTTTAGCAGAAGTATTTTTACAAAAGTGACAAAATGAAAAAACAAAGTAAAAGTGACATTTATGAGGAAGTTCCTCTTACGATAATAATTTTATAAAATGAATATTTTTGATGAAATTGATGATATTGCATTAATGAAATCCAAAGTCTGTAATGACGAACAGATCAAACGAATCAAGTTCACCGTAAAAATCATAGCTTTATTGCGTTATACATTGAAACATCCGGAACATATCAAAACAATAGGAATTGGATGGTTCCCTGATGGAAAAACTATAGTATCAAATGCTAAAATTCTCGGAAACTTCCTTGGATTACGTTCAAATTCGATTAATACTAATTTTCGAGCACATAATTTTCAAATTGTTCCAGTTGTTCGATCTGAGATAATAACTGCATTTGGATCTTTACCAGATCTTGCTAACTGGAACAAAAGACGTCAAGTCGCTTTCCCATTCTCCATTTCTACTACAATTGAAGATGCAGAAAAAATTAAACCGATTGGACTACCTAATTCCGGGCTATTACTTGTCCCACACGAGCCTAATACCAAATCCGCAGACAATGTACCAGCTCCTACGCCAAAAGCTCCTCTTTCTTTCATTCCTCAAATCACATCTGCTTTTTTAGCCACAGATACCGACCAACTGCTTGCCACCGCGAAGATCATGAGGGATATGAAGCTAACAGAAGAAGAACGCCACACTTTCTTGAACAGAACAACGAAAGATTGGATTGCCCATTTCGGAAATGTCACAAAAGTGAATCATACAGAACTAGTCGAGTCATTTATTACACAGGAATGCAAAGCCTCTGATAACTACTGTCAGATCTTTGCAAATATCGACTATTTCTTTACATATCGACCAGATAACAGTCAAATGATGAACGATATCGGATTTGATGAATACCTCGGATTCATTGCGAGATACGGACCACATATTGATGTTTGCGATAACATTTTAGCCCTTACAGACGTAAATTCTCCAAATTTGTTCATAAATTTCGGATCATACAACACAGATGTCCGGCCATCCTTTGTTCCATGGTTTTGTCCCTTCATTGACAGTCGTACTGTTGAATCATGTCTGAAATCTCGATTAAATGAGTCATGGGTTGTCAGACAATCGAAAAACAGCGATTCATTCACTTTACACGCGAAAGTTTTCTTGAATGGCTGTTATTCGATCACTTCAACACACATTTGGTACAGAGCTGTTTCAGACACAAAGGAGAGATTGAGTGTCATGATGGATGATGGTCAGAAGTTGATGAGATTCGCTCAATCATGGGATGAGTTGTTGTACAACGTAATGGGATTGAAAAAAGAAAATATAATGCAGCTGCAGATGAACACTGATAGAATTGAAGGAAGAGAAGTTGGCGCTGAAACTATTGCTTTGAGAACAAATCATGATGACTTCAACATGGTCATGCCTTTGTCTCCTATTGCTTTAGATTTGTAAATAATAAATGTTTTTTTATATTTTTAATTTAATCATTGTTTTTTATAATTAAGGATGACCTCCCATAGAGTAAAAAACAATTATGAATAAGATATTATTAATGTAGTTAAGTTATTAAATTATAAAAATAATATTTTCTTAAATTTCTAAAATTATCATGTAAATACCATGTGATTTCTAAGTTTTTAGTAGTTTTAATATGAATGGCCAATGATTCGGCTCTGTTACTATAGAATATACCATAATTGTTTTTGATTATTTGTCATTTTGGTTGTATTTCTTATATAGTTGAATTACTTGATATGTTTTCAGGCATAAGATCGTCAAATGAGCTATTGAGCTTATCTTCATTTATTAAAAAGATTTAATATTTTAAATGGATATGAAAATCTTATTGTATCTGTGATATACTTTAATAATATTGCCTAAATTGTTTCAAAAATTTTCATGGAATTGAAAATATATCTCTAACATGCGTGTTGATTGTTGTGAAATTCTTGAGTGAAAGATATTTGGGATGGATTTTGTTAAGAATTTAAAAATATCGCATTATTTATTTAAAATTTCAAAATTCGAAATCTAGAACTATCTTTTATTTTAATTGAAGTTTTATTTTGAAGCTGAATATTTTATGGAACATGACTCTGAATTTTCAATAAATTTAAATTTATTCATCTTTTGATAAATAAAGGCTATAATGATACTCTTATGTAATGTGACATTAGATCCAAATCAAATTTACTCCACTGTACAACATGATTAATCAAATCAAGATATGATTTATGGAGAGATAGATTATTTAAAATATGAGACAAATCATAGAATAACAAACAAAACGGTATTCAATCAAGGCTCATATACCTTTTCAAAACTCATATTTTTTAAAAATTTCTCTTAATTGTAAAAACTAATATATAATAATTTATTCCTTTGGTGGCCAATCTAATTCAGTGTCATGGGGGAATAAGAAAATGGCATTATCCTCCATGAAATCTGAATCTGGTATTTCTTTTCCTTTTGTGAAGCGGAGAACAAGGCCAGTGATAACTCCACATATTGATGAAACAGCAAATGATGTAACAGCACCGGCAACAGTCCATTGTGGTGGGAATTTCTTAATAAATAATGTAATTGCGCAAGTTATGACTGAAAGCCATGAGCAAATACCATGCAAGTTATGAGCACCCATTACATCATTAATTCCGAGCATCTTTGTGAAAGGATTATGTATATAATTGAAAGAACAAACTGAAAAACAGCCACAAATGGCTCCAACAAGTAAAGATGACCACGGAGACAGCATAAACAAGGCGGATGATGTTCCAACGCATCCAGCAAGTAAAGCAACTGCGTAAACAAAAGCATCAACCTTTCCTCGTTTTATTGTAAATTCCATGAAGTAAGCTGAAATGATTGAACCGAGACCGCTCATTAAACAATTAATTGCTGCTGTCCATGCCGCTTTTCCTTTCCAAAACAAAGAAACAAATGATGGCCATAAAATGAACAAAAGTGATGAACCAAGCCAAATCCAGTTGACTGAATGTGTAGAAAACTTGAATTCAACACCTATAACTCGTTTCTCTCTAATGACACAGGCAACTCCGAGACCATAATAAGCAGCCATCATGTGGATGGAGATCGCGCAACCTGGATCAATAACTCCTTTGATTGCTTTTCCTGAAACTACTAAGTATTCGACAAGTAAGTATGATAAACCAAACATAACTCCGACAATGCAGTATTGCCATGTCTTTATTGTACCAATAAAGATACCAATAGTAACTGTACATGTAATTGCACAACATACTGATTCAGTTGCAAGCTTTGCATCGAAATCATGCTTCATACAAACATTTTTAACAAAAGCATAAGTAACGTGAGATGTTGCGGCTGAGAGAAGTACTGCTATCATTACTCCCCATTCGAATTTTTTGATGTACATCATGAAAAAGGCGACTAAAATTGTCATGAACCAAACATCGACAACTTTGGGATAAATTGTATCATCTGTATAGTTTTGTTCTGGTATAATATCATTTGGGATCTCTGATGGTCCATTACAGGAAGCCAAAGAAAGTAAAAGTACTATCAACATCTTTTTCGAAAAAAAAAGTTTAGGTGGATAAAAAACGAAAACCGATAATTCATTTATGATCGATACCACATATATCAAATATAAATAAACTATTCTAATGCGTGAAATAAAAATTGAAGACCGAGATATTTCTCTCAATTTTGAATTCAAAATCTATCATCGTTTTTTCTGGCGATTTCAACCACAACATTTAGCAATCATCGAAAAGAACATTAATAGAATGTACTTTGCTTAAAACAAACATTTCTTAACTTTTCATTCATTTCCCTTACGTTTTCAGATTCATTTTTTTATCAAGTGTTTTAATTTCTTGTATAAGTTACAATAACTAAATGTACTTTAAGAAAACTTTCAGTTTTTTAGATCTAACCATTAAATCTCTATAATTGATAATCATTCTTTATTAAATGCTCAAAAGAACATTGATCTATTACTGTATCTTCAATAGCTTAGGCATACAAACTAAATGAACATTACAGATCTTGCATTAATCAATTAAATTTTTTTTCGCTCGTTATATTTGATTGTTTATTGTTAAAAATACGCAATTTAGTTCTGTGAAACATAATATATACACATTTTTATTAATATATATATTCTATTTATAGCCATAAACAAACTTTCTCTGACCCAATTAAATTTTGTCTCCCAATTATTCAGATTTTGAATGAAAATCACTAAAACTTTATGCTATACTTAACGAGTATATAATATATTTTTGTTGATAGAGACATTTAACGATGAATTTCTGAAAAATTTATTTCGATCTTTGACTTATAAGGTGTTGAAGCCAAAATTGGAAACACATATAAGTGTTTGAAGAAAAATACAAACAATATTCGCAATAACAAAACTTTATAAACAAAAAATAAATAAAATACAACAAAAAAACTTCTCAAATGAGATTCAGTTTACCCTTATCATCATTTGAGAAGTTGAACGAAAATTTGGGATCATGATCTGAGGTTGGCTTTCGATAGATCTGATTGGGAAGAAATTCAACTGCAAAGGTGTCGAAATCAAGCCATTTCCAACACCTCCAGACCCGTAAACCTTTGAAAATTCTCCAAGTTTGTCAGATAAGTTAATTGTCTTGTCTTTTGTGGCCGCAGCTCTTGCAATACTTGCCCATCCCTTTAGTTTTGTCTTATTCGTATCTGTCGTCGCATCTTGGATCTTCTTTGATTTAATATTTGGATTCATTCTCAAAATAGCGAGATTTGATTCGTTTCCGAGTGATCTAATCTTCTCATTCCAATGTGTTCTTGCGTTCTCAACATGAGGTAATAGCTTAACTGTAAAAGTTTTTCGGTTCTTTGAGACTAATTCAGTAAATGATGGTTGTACGAACAATCTATTAGCTGCTTCAGCAATCTTATGTGATGGCGAGTCAATCGATATTGCAACAATGTCAACGATATGGCAAAGTAACGCATTATTTATTGCTTCAGGGAAATCTAAGGCGGAAGAAAGGATATTGATCATAATTTCTTCTTTGGAAGGATTACTGACTGGCCAGATACTTACCAATAGCTCTATAGTGTTCTTTGAGTAAATAGAGTTGTTATTATAAAACAAAGAAAAAATTTCCGAAAGTGGGTCCGCGTAAACTCTCAAACAATCATATCTGAGTAAATTGAGAAGATGAGTTTGGAACATCGGTTGAATTACGCGCCAAAATGACGGGATTTCTTTGATTACGCCTTTCATTATGCCGAGGGCAGAATAAACTCCGCATGGATCAATATCCACGAAGTGATGATCGATAATCTTGATTAAGCTTGGCAAAATCTGATTAAAAAGGTTATTTTTCGCTTGTATTAAACTTACCATAAAAGCGATGATCATATCCCTTTCTCTTATGTCTCTGGATGATAAAACAGGTATCAATTCTTTCATGAATTTGATGTCAAAAATCTCATATTTCGGGAAATCTCTGAAAAAGAAGGTTAATATTTTGTATATATGTTGTGTATGTTGAAAATCTTCTAAATGAAAAGAATTAATGTCAGAAAAGAAAAGTGAAATGTCATCAAGTTTTGATAGCGGTCTAATGAGGTTTGTTTTGATCATTTGAACAAGATTCACTCTTATATCTTCGTCTATATATGAATTAATACCAAGATTCGAGAACCTATTGGAGATTTCTTGCAATGCGTTTGCTTTGATAATTTTAGCGTCTTTATCGTTATTTGGATTATCAAAATCACACATCTGCTTGCAGAGCTCGATCTTTTTCATCATAATATTCTTAAATGATGGGTCACCAGCCTTAGGAATTTGAGGAAGACGAGGAAGTTGTAAGTTTCGAGTAGCTTTGAGATTTTTGTTCTCCATTCTTGCGGATTCGTAGTCTCCGTAATCTGGATCTGGGCTTTTTTCTTCTTCTTGAACTGGTTTTTCGATTTTTTCTTCAATTTCTTCGAGAACTAAAGGAGGAAGTTTAATTTTAGAGGCGCTACATACTTTGGCTAATGTCTTTGATTGCATGGTAGGTATATAGATGCTTAACGATGATTTAAAGCGGGATATCGACTTAACATTTTATTAAATAAAAAATATCTTTCAGAACTAATTGTAACTGATTATTTTTTGAATGAGAGATTAGCCTTCACAAAAATGAAAAAACCAAAATTTTCCCTAATTATTTAATTCTATTGTTCATCTTTGTTTCTTATTTTTATACATTTGAATTTTTGATTATTTGATCATCGAGAAAAATTATTAATAGATGTAAAATACTAATAATTATGCCGTGTAGTAAATTGATTTTGAAATATGTTATTGAAAATTTGAGAACAGATGTTTAATTGGGATCATTAAGAAGGTCAGATATATGATAATATATTCATTAAAATTTTGAAATTTCTGCGGATTAAAAAAATTTCAATGTGATTTTGATAAAACTAACGGGCAGATTGAATTTAAAAATTTTGAATGATAAAACTTATTTTTTTAATATTACATCTCCATTTAACTAAACCATAAATTCATTTTTTATCTGTTCGTCGTTCGAAAATTGTGAGTTTTTGATAGAATTATGTAATTTCTAATGTTTTTATGATTCCGATTGCCGATCAAATCCAATTAGATAATCATTTTTTTCTTTTGAAGTCAATTTTTTTGTGATGAAATCAAAAAGTGACAACTCGATTTTGTAAAAAAATGGAACTTTCATCTGAAGACAAAAGAAGAATTATTGAAGAGATTAACTCCATGCGTAAAGAGCGAATGATGATAAAACAACAAATGGAACAGATATTAGATCGAATTGATGAATTAGACGATTCTTCTTCTTTAGGCACTTTGTCTTCTAATATCATTACCCCGAAAATAGCATCAAGGAACTATGCTGTATCATGCCATATTGAATCTATGAACGAAGAACAAACAAAGAAAGAATTAGTTCAACGAATCTCAATTTCATCCTCTCGTAAACAAGATTTGATACGAGACATTAACACCGAACTTGAGAATTTCCATAATAACGACATTTCTTGTTTCCACCAAATTCAAACTTCATCAATTAAAACACGAAGTGAAATTGAAAAGACAATTAAACAATTATCACAAGCATTACTTGAACTTAAACCAGACGAAACAACAAACAACGAAATATCCGACCTTTTTAAAGAATCCCAAGAACGCTCAACATACATTGTTAACAAACAAGCCGAACTTGTCAATTTGATCAAAACAAAGCTTGATCTTCTTAGCAAACGATACGAATTGAACGAATATTCTTTTGAACAAAAACTTTTTGACAAGAAAGACATTTCACAAGAAATTGCACGTCGTCGTACATCAGACTTACCAATATTACTAATATAATACTCATTATTTCATATTTTGTCTCATTTTAAGTTAATATTTTCATATTAACTTTTAATTAGATTTATATTACTAGTTATATTGCTTTTAAAACTTAAAATTATTAGACATTTCTCTTCTTTTTGCGTTTTTTATTAAAATCAATCAGATTTCAATATGAAATTTGATATTTTCAAACTCATTCATATTATATTAATATTTATTAAACACATCTCTTCATTTTATGTTTTCACATTAAAATTCTACTTTATTTCATTATCAATTCTGTTTTTTTCAAATACTTTCATGATTTATATTAAAATAACCTATATAACTCACTGAACCTACTTACTATCTACTCATTTTCTTTGGGTATCCGTTTTACTTAGTTCATTGTCCAAATTAAAAATTTTTTATTTGATCAAACTAAATAATTTTAGACTTTATCATCTGGCTCTGCAGATTTACCATCATCCTTCTTGAATACGAATAAGAAAAGGACTACTACTACAACAACTGCAATCACAATGATGACAGCAATAACAATCAATAAAATTCCCCACCATGGGAATCCACCAGGGAATTTCTGATCAACATTATCCTTGGTGAATGCACCACCTTTAGTTGACAATGTTGCAGTGAACTCTGGAATTAGGAATTCTTCTTTTTCATCAGCAGAAGCATCTGCGGTTGGTTCCCATGAAATTTTGACATCACCTGAGAAACTTGTTTTTCCACTTCCAGCTGTATCAGTTATACTTGTTGTAGCCATAAACTTCGCACCAATGGAAGCACCAGTTGTTCCTTCTTTTTCAGGATGATTGTAACTAGGATATTCGTTCGTGCCTGCGAAAGTGAAGTCAATATATTTATCTCTACTGTACTTATATGTCAGGTTCTTGTTCGATACTGAAAATAAAGTTTGAACTGTTCCTTTTGCAGAAGTTTCTGATCTTTTTGCAGATAAACCAACTTTGACTTCTCCTTTTCTTAATGTAGATACAATATTTTCAGTACCTACATTAGTTAGTATGGTTAAGTTGGGTACGGCGGCACTGCGTTCCACCTTACTCAATATAACCTTAAATATTTACAAAACCAGTAACGTATATTTTACAACACGAACGCAAAAACTAACTTAACCTTAAATATTTACAAAGCCGCCAACCACTTCACTAACGAACTCACTAATGTAAAAAATAAACGTTCTCACTATCGTTCTCACTAACGACTTCACTAATGTTCTCATAAATTTTCCTCAATATCTTCATCATCAGTGTTAACCCTATTGTAGTCATACTTGAAGCCATAAACTTTCTCTAACTTCTTAACGTACAATTTACATAACTTACCTTCGTCATCGTATGGTTTAATGATATAACTATTTCTATCTTTATACACAGTCAATGAAAAGTCAACTGGTCTCGGATGTATTTGAAAGAACATGTTATGCTCAGGAAGGAAGAATAAATGTTTAAATGTATGTTTGTTATATGTTTTGATTTGTATGAGTTGCTTTTGTTCTGTCATTTATATAAAAATAAACTTAAAAATTAATGATATCACCACCCTCACACGTATGAAAACATAGCGCAAAAATAAATTTAGGTGAAGTGGTGAGATCTCACCTGTTTTTTCACCTCTTTTTTCACCCGTTGAATTCATTACTTTATAACTCTCTTCCTTGGTTTCTTTTTAGTTGCTTTCTTCACGTCTGTCTCCAACTTGACTGTCTTTCTTCTTCGTCCGTAATGATACCAATTACTTCCACCAGTCAATGGGTCAAATGGTCTTTCGTAAGGGTTTCCATACATTCCATAGGGACCATACGGAAGAACTACTGGTGGAGGAAGAGTTCCATCGACTCTATTTAAATGCATTGTTTCACCTTTCATCTGGTCATTAAAGTCTTTTGCGTGTTTTGCAAACTCATCGTCCTTTCCTAAAGCATTTTCTGACTCAGTCGCAACCAAATTGGATGCTTTATTTATGAGTCCTATTTTATTTAATCTTAACTTCTTTGCAACCCAGCCTCCAATCTTTCCTTTATTTGCATCTAATGTCTTCGAAACTCTTCCTCCACTCATTTTATTTACTGCGTCATAAGCTCCAAGTGCTTTTGCTCCAAATGCTAATGCTTTTGTTCCCATTGCGCCTAAAGCTGCCCAAGCTACCATTTACACCATATTAAAATCATCTCTCTTCAATATTATCTCATAAAAGTTCTCGTTACTGGAGAAAGTCAATGAAACATAAACATTCTCATTCATAAACTTCTTTCTTATATCATCTATTCGCTTCAAAATGTCTGAACAATTGCTAACATCTTCTACAACAGTTATTTCATCATGAATGACCTTCAAGAACAAGCTCATTTAATATGCTATTAAAATCATCTCAATAATGAGTCCATCCTTTCCATCTTTAGGTAGCACAACATCTTTCATTGAAGAAGGTTCGACAAGTCTTATGTTAAACTTACTGACAAAGTTTGTTATACTATAATGCTTCGGTGGCGAATACATGTAGTTTGAAAGACATAATATAGATTCTTCAGCAAATTCACTTATACTGGATTTTATAACAATGTTCTCACGAGACCAAATACCACCAATTGACAATCTTGTAAGCAATCCTGCTGAACCTTCAACTGTAAACGTCGATGGTAACATTCCACGAAGGTCATCTATTGACATCTTTGAGTCACTGAATTTAAATATTTTCTTAAAGCAATCGTCATTATCTAACCATGCAATAGCTTTGAAGTTTTCATTCGAATATACATCTGCTTCATTAAATGTAAAACCTGACTTCTTTGCAGAGATGACTTTAAAATCTATTGAGTTTGTTTCAAAATTATATGCTATGCTAACTTCTGAAGGTAATGGATGTCCTTCCGCAGTCAGTTGTTCTCTCACTACCGTTTGAAGCTTTGTGTTAAAAACTTTCATGTCATCTCCTGTGTCTAGGTTCACATACACAGCAACAGGAAAACTATCTTGCTTCTTTGTTTCATCATTATACCTCAAAACATTAAAGTTCTTCAATAATATTGTTCTTCCTGCTGGAATACTTCGAACCTGTCTGATTTCAATAGCTTTCTCACCTCCTACATACTCTACCCAGTGCCTTGGATATTCATAAGTATACTGACTTTCTTGAATTTTGGTAGGTTTCATCATAACGTGTTCATAGTATATCTTTATACTCTTGTCAGTTAGACTCGGTGCTATGTTCTGAATATTTCTGACTTGCATTTTTAATGGAGATAAAATGAAGCATTTAATACATGACGTAGATGAAGACATGAATGAAACTACAGACAAACTTAACTCTTCTCTCATTCTTCCTTTCAGTAAGGACTATGAGTTCTGTTCAAATGGTGTTTATTTCTATTGTGGAAAGATGGGTTCAGGTAAGACATTTAACCTCATTCGTCATATACTCATAACAGAACGTTTAGGAAATGACTCATATTATGACCAAATCATTATATCAGCAACTTCAGACTCTATGGACTCAACAGCGAAAACATTTATGTCAAAAGTTCAAGCCTCTGTCGTTAAAGTTCCAGACAGTGAACTCATTGAATTTCTTCAACGTTACATTCGACGTAAGAGGAAATATTATGCCATCGTTGAATTTATACAGTCAGGAATGCAAAAGACTTCTGAGGAGATGGAAAGAATTATTGACAAACACCACTTACGTCAGTACTCAGGAGTTTACGATATGAAACGACTGACAAACTACATTCTATCAAAACTTTCAAAATACCCCTTCAAAAAATATCCTTCAAACACTCTGCTCGTTTGCGACGACTTCGCCGGAAAAGGTTTAGTGTCAAAACCAGACTCACCATTAGCTAACATCATTACTAAAGTCAGACATTACCACTTAACTGTAGCAATACTTATGCAAACATGGAGGTTTTTAGCTTTAAACATAAAACGTCTCATAACTGACTTCGTTATCTTTCAAGGTTTCTCACGTTATGATATTGAACTCATTTGGAAACAGTCAGGTATAACATTACCTTTTGAAGAAATTTGGGAAGCATATAAGTCTCTCATCTCTCCTCGTTCATACCTTGAGATTCATATCATGACTAATACCATTAAAGTCAAAAATATTCCATGGGAACGACCAACATTGTTTTAAAGTTTAACCTTCAATTGACTGATGGTAAACAAATTCCATGCATCTCTGTCGCCATTTCTGTTAATATTTTTGCTGTCATTCATATCATCCACTTCTCCATCCGTTAGCTTTTGAGGATATGCGTTAGAATAGCTGTTCTTAAATGAAGGCTTTTCACCTTTGAGAGCATAAACTCTATAACTTTCTGCATACTTTATGTTTGAACCTCCTGAGCCATCATTGACATAAATTTTTATAGGCTTCCACCCTTTGTTCATGTTCCTGCTTCTTCCCTTAGCTCTTTTGTTCAGTAGTTCTACATCTTTATACACAGCTCCTGTCTCAGTGAATTCAACAATATTTTCATTCGTTAGCTTTACATTCAAACCCTTGTCGAGTATATTGTTCATTTCATACATATAAAAGGTTTTTATTCTATATGAAATGAGAAGCAAATCCATCTTAGCTGGTGCCGTTAATGTTCCAATTGAACCAACATCAAATGTTGACTCACGAACGACAAACAATATTGTCATAAAGAACTATAGTTCAGAGTGTTTGAAAGAAAAAGAACCAGAACTGAAATCCGTGAATTTAAACTCAGCTTCAAACGCTAACGCTACATCAGATGTTAAGTTAGAGTATCCACCACTGGACCAAATTCTTTCAAGAGAAGCCAACGACAACCCTTACACAAATGTTCAAACAAATCCTTCAGATAACGTAGACCATTACCTTCTTCAGTTATACCAAACAATTTTACTCAAAGACGATAAGAAGCTTTTGACAAATCTTATAAGCAAGAACCAAATAATTCTAACAAAGGAGGACCTTGAAAATGTTATATCACGAATAACAGGGAAACAATGTGTCATTGACTATCTCGACCCTGAAATCGAATGCTGTGGTCAAAGCCACCATTCATGAAAATAGGTAACATCCGCATCATTGAAACACCAGGAACTACAGGAGTTGAGTTTAAAGTATAAATATTCGAATGAATATAACAAACTTTCAACAGAATATAAACTTTGTTTGAAATATGTTTTAGTAAATTAAAGCAATTTGTAATATCTATCCAAAACTTCTTCAACAGTATCGAACTCATCTTCATAATGCAAACCTAATCTTATTGACTTGGTGCAGTTTTCACTAACACAATATAGCGCTTTGCGCTCGGCGCCTTTGACGCCTTTTTCTGTTCTCTTGACTGACATAAACTAATTCATTTGTTTCATCAAACAGCAACAACCAAAGTTCATGACCTAATACATAACATTCATACTTTATATTTTTAGCTCTGAGTTCTCTTGTAAGCTGTTGCATTTAATATTTTCTAAAAAGTCAACTTCAACAGTCATTCGCACTGGTGCTTCAGTTCTACAGGCTTCGCCTTGAAAGTCAACAAGTCTGAATTGCATGTCTTTCAAATTATGAGGACTAATGCGAACCATTTACCTAAATGAGTTGCTATGACAGGAACGTTTGGAATGAACATTGAATTGACTGCATAACAGAAAGACTTATATTCTACTGAACCTTTACTATTAACTCCTGAAATGCCTGTGACATTAGCTATTTAGACTCAATGTACAAACAATTACCATAACATACGTATGGAACAGATTTCAT